ACAAAAAGATTATTAAAACATTCACAGAAAGAAAAACATTTGTCTATTGATAAAAATGCATACAAAAAAGTACAAACAAACAAGCAAACATGCAAACAAACAAGCAAACATGTAAGCAAACAAACATGCAAACAGACAAACAAACAAACATACAAGGACAGCAACAACAATCAAAAAACTTTAAGATATTCTTTTTTGCAAGCACTAACATAAATCTATGAAAGTTTCTTCATTCAAACTCGTTAAAAGGAAAAAGGCAAAAAAATAATTATACAACATCATTATCATCATTTAAAACACCATGATCATCATCGTCGTCGTCTCCTTCTTAAGCATCATTATCATCATCATGCACTGGTTTTTATAATCGTAAAATATACGAAACATTGAACTCTAACAGCTATTTAATGTACATACATACCTAAATACATAAAAAAAACACACACACAAACATACACACAAGCAAACAAACAAATATATAAACAAACAAACATACATGCATACAAACGTTCAGAAAAACAAACAAACAACCAGAAAATGAAAAAAATTATTAATAAACAGACGGGGGAAAAAAATCAAAGGCAAGCAAACAATTTCTTATCTAGTACATCATTCTAAGAAGAGTCAGGTAATACCTAATAACTACAATTTATTTGCAGATTTCAAAGTTAGCCACGATAGCAATATACTAACTACAAATAACGAGGCAGCAAGTATTCCTACTACCACTGCTACTTCTTCTACTTCTGCCTCTACTACTACTACTGCTACTGCTGCTGCTTCAACAACTACTACCACTGCTATTAGTATGACAGCGTCAACTTCTGCTGCTACCAATACTATGGTTTCATCCTATATTATTGATACTTCTACTACTACTACTTTTAATACAGAAGATGCAAGTGTGGCTACTTCTACTACTGCTGCCTCTGCTTCTACGACAGCTGCTACAAGCACTACAGACGCTACAAGTTTCAGAAATAGTGTTGATAAAAATACAACTCGTGATTTCAGACGCGGGAAAATCAATAGCAGTGGTGACAGCTTGCGAATGAAAAAGAAAAAAAACATTTTCCAGTTAACTCCTATAAGTCAAGAACTTTACAACAATCTGGGTAGAAATGACGTCATAAACAACAACAACAACAACAACAACAACAGCAGCAACAACAACAACAACAGTAACAAACACAACAACAACAACGACATCAATTACATCAACGGCAACAAATTTCTAGAAAGAAACAACACGCATCGATGTTTTCTCGAGCTAGTTAAGATATTTGGTTATGACCTTAATAACATTAACAACAACGACAACATTAATAACAATAACAACAGCATTAATAACATCAACATTAACAACAACAACATTAACAACGATAACAACAACAAAGCGAAAATGAACAATGACTCAACAACATCAGTCAAATCAAATGGATCACATCGTCATCCATTGAAAGCAAAAGCCCACAGGTTAATTAATTATTCATTGAAAATGTTTGTATAAAATGTTGTATTAAAATAATGTATTGTATAAAATTTGTATAAAATACTAATTTGCGAAAATAGTATTTTAAAATTTGTATCAAACACTGATTCGTAAAAAAAGTATTTAATTTTTATGAATGTATTTTTGCAAATGGTTAGCTAGGTGATGCAGTTGTGCTTAATATGCCTGTCAGTTATGTTTCTTTTTCTAACAGTTTCTTTTTCTCATACTTTTGAGAGAATTATGAATAATTATATTATTATTATGATGATAACTATAAATATTATTTACTAATAATTCTATTATTAATATTTTTATTTTCATATTTTATGATTTAAAAACATATTCACAGTGATAATATCAGCGACGCAAACAAAGAAGAAGAAGACGAAGAAGATGAAGATGATGATGATGATTACGACGGCGATGATGATGATGATGATTACATCAAACGCCATCCTGATAATGATGATGAGGGCGAGAATGATGATGATGATGGTGATGATGATGATTGTGATTTCAGGAAAAGAATTGTGTCACTCATGAGACAAATTATGCAGCCAAATAAGACAAGTCTAAATTTAAAATTTTTTAAATTAATTTATTAAATTAATTGGCCATTATTTGCTTAATTAACTAATTATAATTATATTAATTGTATTATAGTTAAAGAATGTTATCCTAAATTCAGGTCACCAGGTCCAAACTGACCCAATTATTTCGACCAATGGGAGGCGATCTTCGGAGACTCAGACATCGCCAACCATTGAAATGAACTTGACCTACTTACGCGAAAAATATCGAGAAAGGTCAAGGATGGATAACGACGCTGATAGTTCAAATTATGCTAATGAGGAATATTACAATGTTTTGGCTTGTTATGATAATGAAGGAAGGGTTATGAATAGTAATAAGAAGAGAAAGTTAATGAGATGCAAATCATTTCCATTGTCGTTTAGAGAAAATCAAATGATCTTATTCGAGATTTTACAAAAAAATCCTAAACAAAATTCTCAACAAAATTCTCAACAAAATTCTCAACCAAATTCTCAACAAAATTCTCAACATAATCGTTCCTTGCAACAAAATCAATTAGGACTACGTAGTCATCAGTTGCTTCAGCAAATTCAGCAAATGAACCAAAACCTTGAAACACAACACACCAGTGAAGTTAGACAGATTTTAAGCAGCCCAACAACAATGACAACAACAAACACTGCAGCAATTACGCCTACATCAACAATACAACCACCATCAACAAAAACATCAACAGCTATCACATCATCAACAACAACAACAAAAACAACACCTTTTAAAAGTTACAACTACCTTTCAAGGTCTATAGACAAGCCAATCCTCCAAATCAGACCACTGAACTCTGCGCCAGCAGCCTTTAATGAGCAATCTTCTTACTATCACGCCAATAAAACATCAACAAACATTAACAGCTCTTCAACATCAGCGTCAAACAATAAATTAATTTATTACATTAAAACTAAAAAACCATCAACTATGTTATTGGCAGCCACTGAAGCAACAACAACAACTACAGCCGTAACAACAACAACGTTATCGCAATCATCATCAAAATCGTTATCACAATCATCATCGTCAAAGCCGACGAAAAATTACTCGCTCTTAACAGCTAGAAAATCGTTACCTTTGTTAGCATTAACCCCAATATTAGCAACAACAACAACAGCATCAACAACAACAATATCACCATCATTATCATCATCGACAACAACATCATCGTCCTCAGCATCATCAACCCCTTTCATTTCTGATCATTTATCCGTCAAGCGTTTAAAAACAGCCAACGAGTTATTGTTAGAATTGGCCAACAACAACAATATTACTACTACTACTGCTGTTGCTACTACTGCTACTACTACTGCTACTACTACTGCTGCTACTACTGCTACTACTGCTGCTGCTAATACTACTACGGCTGCTACTAGCGCTATTTTTACTGCTTTGGCAAGAGAAATTACTAAACGCCGTTCGCCAATTATCCCAGAAAAAGCAAATGAAAATACTAATACTGCATACATGGATTTTAGTACAGTACTTACTAGCTCACCGAATTTTAACAAAACCGGAACCTCGCCTCTCATAAGCGAGGCCAACAGAAAAACCTTAATACACTTACAATCGTTCGATTTTTCGGATAATTATTTGAAAAAAGGTTCAAACATAGTTGATGAAAAATTAGGCCCTGCTAGCAACGAGAAGTTAAGCTCTACAGACAACTTTTACAGACAGTTTTTTAACGAAAAATTGAGTTTAAAAGATACAAATTTGCCAAGATTAACATCAGCTGTTAAAAATTTTTCTTTCAACTCAACACCAACAACTCCTACAATAATTTCGGCAACAACATCAACAGCAAAAACATCAACAATATTTTCAACAGTGTCAACAAACAAGCTAATGTTGCCGACTTATTCTGCAAAATTTTCAACAAAGTTTTACTCAAATTCAACACCGACAACACCGACTGTAGTTTCTGCATCTCTCACTACAAAAGTGTCATCAGGAATCTCAACGTCAACAACGACAGCAGCAACAGAAGTAGCTACAACCACGACAGCAGCAACAGAAGTAGCTACAACAACGACAAGTTCATCGTTGATATTACCGCCATTAGCAACAAAGTTTTCGACAATTAAATTATTCCCTGTCATGCTGAAAACCAACAGCTCTCTATTGCAAACATCAACTACACGCACTGCAGCAACAACATCATCATCATCAACAGCAACAACAACAACTGAATCATCATTATCAACGCCATCAATAACATCAACATCTTTATCATTTCTAACAACAACAAAAACAACAACAACAACGCCGCTACCAATTACATTAACGACAAAAAATTCATCTTTGTATATCAGAGAATTATTCGCAACATCAATAACAACATCAGCAACAACAACAACGTCAACATCAACAACAGCATCAACAACAGCATCAACAGCAAAACTCATCAGAAAGCGTTCAAAGAGTGACACAGATTTCAACAAACTCCTAACAGATGACGACAACCTTAACATCAGCCAAAATAACACCCAACTGAATAGAAACCAAACCGATTTCAATGACATCATTATGTTACCACCACAACCACAGCAGCAACAGCAGCTGCTGCAACAACCGCCTCGTCTTTCACTTAAAGATCGCTTGTTGTCGTCTCCCAGATTATTACGCTTTCGTTTCCCGCGTGAGAATCGCGAAGCGAAAGAAAGCGCGCCGAAAATGGAAGTCGAAAGCGAAACTACAAAAAGGAAACCGAAACCAGCAACACTGAAACAAAGATCTCAATCGGCACCTAGGCTGGGAATTTTTGGGAGGTTCTTTGAGAGGGGATTATTCTTCAGAAGGTCTGGAGATTTTTTTCGGAGGTCAAAGTGAACAAAAAAGAAATCTATGGCATGAATCAATTGAGTTAGCTGCCAGCATAATGCAAACATACAATGAGAAAACAATGAAATTGAGG